ATGCTTGTGCTTTGAAACACTGGATAGTTGAGCACCCCCCAAGAAAAGAAAATGATCTCCTACAGAGTGCCCTAGAAGAAACCAGGACAGAGGCTGACAACATTTATGCTCTCGAAGATGCTGAAGTACTCATTCCATGCACTGAATCCAATCAACTACTTATCACCAACAACCCCATTGCTCAGATTGAGTACACCACAAACACTGCCCCCTCAAAGATGCCTGGGGAAAATGTCTGATTCCAGATTTGGGGCCAGGAAAGCAACAGATAAGTGCACAGTGACCTATCGCATCAGGAAGAATTTGGAAAAGACTAAGAAGTCTGTGTTAAAATGGAAATCTTCACGTGAGTGCAGCAAGTCAGATTTATCAGGGAGATGTGGAATATTTTCTCTTACAGATTGAATTAAAGACCAGACATGACAGTAGTAGCCAAACCTACGATTGTTTAATATGTATGAGTTTAATTGGAGTTACCTGACAAAAGGGATGATGCTCCTCCCAGACACCATGGATTATTAAAAAGCCCAGTGCCAGTGTGGGATACCCCCTCCAGCTGTTGGTCAGGGCTGTTCCAGTGATCCCCCAAAACAATACAGGTCATTGTCATTGCTCTTGATTCCTATTGTTTAAGACACCACACACTTTGGCCACAGGGTATGAAAAAATCAAGTTGACACTGACCAGAAACCTTCCTTCGTACTACCCAGTTTTCCTATTACCAGAAGATACTACCAGGCTATTGAGTGGAGGAAAGTTGTCAAGGTTCTTATTCCTCAGTGAACTACAATAATGGCCAACATGGCAAGATATACCCATGGGTCAACAGTGGCATGAATATCACAGAGGTAACCAAGTAACTATGTTTCAATTTTAGGCCCACTCCACAGGAGGAAACACTTGCCTAGTACTATAAATCTTATCACAATCCCATGGTTGGCGAGTTCAGAGGTCCCAGAGGTGAAACTACTACCACCACCACCACCACTACCACCAATACCACCACCACTATCACTACTTCTACCTTTACCACTAGTACCATTACTACTACTACTACTCCTCTGGTAGGTGAACATGGTATGACACTTCCAGGTGTCACTAAGATGAGCAAGTATGTGCTGGAGAGATGAGAGCAGCTTCTTCATCAACTGATGTGTGTCATTAAATCACCAAGTTTCACGATAAGGGTCATTGGGTTTCCAAACCATCCAGAGAATGTCTCAAAAACACAAGAAACAACTGATATCAGAAAACAGCACCACTATGTGGCCATGGAGCCAGAAAAGCCCAGGAATTTTTGCCCTGCCTCTTCTCCATAAGCCCCATGCACAGTCACTGCCCTGCCAACAGCAGCCATGGCCAAAGGTTCCAGTCTCTCTACACACTGCAGCGGCATGGCCTCTGTTGACCATAATGGATGTTCCAACCCACTCTGTCAGCAGTTTCTATTTAGTTCATTCTCCACACAATAGCATAAGAACAACAAAAATCAAATTGTGACTCTCTCCGGATCTTCCTTTCATAGTCATAATACAACTGAAAGACCATGAGAGTCATCTACCCTTTCCACCTCACACCGACATGACTACACTGTCCGCCAGCCTCTAGGCTTGTCCTCTGCTCGTAGACCAAATGAGGTCCATGAGGACAAGCCCACCAACAAGGCATGTATATCCCTTGTTCTTCTTGTCAATCAGGACTCAAGTCAAATGCTACCTGATGAAACAGGCCTTTGGAGGAAACCCCACCTACAACAATCCCCATCACAGCCATTTTATGTCCACCTTGTGTTCTTTAAAGCACAAATAATATATGGAGTTGCTCCAATTACTGCTTTCCTCTACTTACTGACAGTTTAGCCATCTAACATGATACTCCAGGACCTCTGCTAGTCTTCTCAGTGCAGGAACAAGGTGCTCACAAAACAGGCCAGTATGTGAATATCTGGATAAATATACATGAAGGAATTGATGCGTATCTGACATGCCATGTAACACACTGGTATTTACGGGAGTAACAAGAGGACATGGTATGGAATTAAGCAGTCTGTGACTCCATATCCTAGAGGACAGAATATCAAACCCACTAGCAATAAATTTTAACATGGACAGCCACCAGAAAGAAGTGGCTATGCCACACCCCACTTCCCATGGTTTGATTCAGTGTCTGTTGTGGACCCAGATATCTACCATTTTAATAAGCAGTCCCTGCAAATGTGATGTAGTAATGATGGTCCATTCAGGAAAATGGTCTGATGGGGATGGCTTCCACTTCAGTCCTGGTCATTTAAAGGGACCCATGCAGGGTTCAGTCATCTGGGGAGTCTATGAATACCATTGTTCCACAGTGTGCTGCTATTGCTGCTACCTACTCAACAGGATGTGTTCTTACAAGGCATCACAGATCCCCTGCTGGTCACACGGAAGGGAAGAGAAAAGGAAATGACTCACCTGGTAAGTCCCACATGATCTTGTCACTCTTGCTAGGTAACAGGCTGACAAGACCACACCACACTTGGTTCTTCTCCAGGAGCTGGTTCTGCATGGAGAGTTCACAGTTTTCTCCCTGTTCTACTAGAAGGCAGAGTAAGGGGAGAGAAAGCTCATGGAGAGGGGAGGAAGGCAGATGAGAACGCTCATGCACTCTACTGTACTGAATATAGGGATGGAGTAGTCTGTCTGCATCCAGTCAAGTCAAAGATGTGCAGTGACATCTTCCTCTTCTTTGTTCGTCTCACAGACCCTTCCTATACACACACACACACACACACACACACACACACACACACACACACACTGATGGCACTGATGACTCATATACTAGAAACAAGGGCTCATGTCAGCTTCTTGTCAACCTTCTGCATGTTCTCTCTGCCTTCCTGTTCTTCTTCTCATAGAAGAGACCTGACATTGACAACCTTGAAAAGGAACGAACTTGGAGGATGAACATCTGACTTCCAAACTCCTTATAAACCTAGAGAAATGAAGACAGCGTGCCTGATTGGTAATGTCAACAAGACAGAAAAGAATATGAAGGGAACAGAAGAGTCACACACGTGTGAGGGGACACCTTTAGCAAAGACACAAAGACACTTCAGTGAAGCAGGCATTTGCTCTTCACCGAGTTTTTCTGGGACTCTCTGTGGTGGTAGGGAGGTACAGCCCAGCATCGTGACCAGCAGCCTGAGGATCACCCTGTCCCTTTGATAACCTTGACCCTGGTAAAGCTGGATCTATGATTAGGCTGCAGAAAAGAATTTCAGAAAAAGCCAGAATGAAGCAAAGGTTGTGAGCTTATTAATGCTTTGGACAGAAGCTCACATAGTATAGGGATGGCTCATGCATGACGGCCTGAGTGAGGACTAGAGAGAGACTTGAGATTAGGTGTCAGTGCAAAGGGTGTGTGAGGAGGGCAGGAGAGTGAGAAATGTGAAGATTTTCATGGCTCTCAAAGTTACATTGTTACATTGTTTTAAAATTACATACTTTGAGTCTTTGAAATGGTTCTGTTTTTCCACTAGAAAAAAATATACAATAGGTTATTAAAAAGTAAATAATAAAAATGCTTTTAAATGTTCTTATCCCTTTTAAAATTTCTTTTAGTAAATTAAATTGTAAGGTGAATATGTGATTCTACAGACATTCTGGTCCTAAGTAAGCATAATTAATTAATTTGTTTAATGTTTTTCACAGGGAAGTCTTTGCACCACATGAGTGAGTCCCCCAGAGTTCGAGATCTCTCGGAACTGGAGTTACAGACAGTTGTGAACCAGAGTATCAACCCTGGATCCTCTGGAAGACATCCAGTGATATAAAAGAATGAACCATATCTTCGGACCCTAGTTTATTTGTTGTAATTTTTCAACTTTCTTTGAGATGTCTTTAGTAATACTTGCAAAATAACTGCAGGTAATTTTGGCTCTATCAGTTGGGTGGAGGCTTCTTGAATGTCAGAAAAATGTAAAAATGATCACAGGGTAAGTGGCTGTGTATTCCCCTCTCATGTCCCCTTCAATGCCCTGTCTTTCTGTCTTATTATGAGACAAGTGGACATCCTCATACACAGATATAAATATAGACAAGTTGTATATTGCAGGATACAAAAGTCAATCAAAATTAACAAATGATCTACCCAGGACTAGAGAGACATCTCTGACGTTAACAGTGTCTTTGGCTATTGCAGAGGACCTGACTTCAGTTTCCAGCACCCATATGGTGGCCCACATATGCCTATAACTCCAGATCCAGGATAACTGACAGTCTTTTCTGGCCTCAGTAAGCATCTGCACTCAAACATGCATACAGCACACACAGACGTACAGGCAGATACCCAGTAAATAGTGAGAGCAAATCTAAAAGGTAATTGATCCAAAATACAACCTAAACATGAATCTTGTAGCAGAAAACATTTGAATGTTCATGATCATGGATTAGGAACAAACGTCTTAGATATAACAAACCCCCTTTCATGGAAAGAAGAACTGGACTGTTAGGACTTCCCTAAAGTGAAAAATGTACACTGTGATATAAAAGAAATTTTCCCTGCCTGGGAAAAAATGAATGTTGGAAATTGTGTATCAGATGACAGTCTTCTTGTTTACAGAATATAGAAAGTCTCAAAAAGAGCCACTAAGAAAATAGACAATTCAGGAACTAAAACTTGGCCAGAAGAGTGAGTAGATGCTCCACTAAGAGAAACATACAGCCGCAACATCCTTAACACTAGGGAAGAGAGACAGGTGACTCTGAGGGGACTCTCGACACCCCCATAAAATACTCAGAAATAAAGAGTTGTCATACGAAGACCTGGCAGGTTGTGGAGGATGAAAGTCTCATACCCACTGCTGGTGGCCATGGAAAACAGGAGAGAGACTTGGAAAAGTATTTCTTGATATGTTAATTGTCTGACCAAAGCTGTAACAACTTCCCTGATGGAGCAGTGCTGTTACTTTGAGGAAAGCTTTCCCTGAAGCAGATCTGTAAGCTGCTAAGACTTTGTGGTATTCCTTGCCTCTGGAACAGCCAGGATCCCTTTACATTTGAGCTGAAATGTATACATTACACATATATGTTTTTAACTGTACTCATTGTCTAGCAGTTAGACATCCCCAGCCTGCCTGATGGCATTCCACTCCAGAAGGTGCCAGCCACTCACAGTCCAACCTGAGTCCTCAAAGCCTGGGCTGGCTGGCAGACAACCATAGGCCTGCCCAGAGCTACAAGGCTTCCATTACAATGAGCAAAATGTGTGATGGAGAAACAGGAGAGAAAGAGTAGTGGGATGGTTCATGTGCTGTGAAAAGAGGAGGAATAGAAGATGTGAAGGCAGTGAGGAACAGGCTGAGGTGGGTGGTCTTCTTGTCATTCATGGCCATGGGGTCATCAGGACCGAAGTTGCTACCAAAGGTCATTTCTGGGTCTCCAGTCTTATTGCAGCTTGGATCTATGTTAACATTCATGGTCCAAGCTGCCACCAAAGGGCACACAGGAGTCTGGAGTCTGTGCTGCATCCTGTGGCCTTATTGGCATCTGAGGGCTGTTCTGCCACTGGAGTGACACTAAGTGATCTGAGCTGCCAACCGGGGCCATGGTGTTGGCTGGTATAAGGGGGTTCTTCTGTCTATGTCTTGATTTCATTGGTTGAATAAAGAAACTGCCTTGGCCTTTTGATAGGGCAGCACTTAGATGGAGTAGACTGAACTGCATGCTGTGAAGAAGGGCAGTGTGGCAGATGCCATGAAGCTCCTGCTTGAGACTGACGCTGGTTAGAATATTTTCCGGTAAGCCATGACCTTGTGGTCTTAAACAGATTGGTAGAAATGGGTTGAATTATGATGTAAGAGTTGACCAATAGGAAATTAGAGCTAATGGGCCAGGCAGTAATTTAACTAATACAATTTCCTTTTTTATTATTTATTAAAGATTTCTGTCTCTTCCCCACCTCTGCCTCCCATTTCCCTCCCCCTCCCCTAATCAAGTCCCCCTCTCTCGTCAGCCCAAAGAGCAATCAGGGTTCCCTGCCCTGTGGGAAGTCCAAGGACCACCCACCTCCATCCAGGTCTAGTAAGGTGAGCATCCAAACTACCTAGGCGCCCACCACGAAACCAATAGGATCAAAAACCCATTGCCATTGTTCTTGAGTTCTCAGTAGTCCTCATTGTCCACTATTTTCAGCAAGTCCGGTTTTATCCCAGGCTTTTTCAGATCCAGGCCAGCTGGCCTTGGTGAGTTCCCGATAGATCATCCCCATTGTCTCAGTGTGTGGGTGCACCCCTCGCGGTCCTGAGTTCCTTGCTCATGCTCTCTCTCTCTTTCTGCTTCTGATTTGTGTGTGATTGTTTCAGGTGTAAGCTAACTGGGCAGCTGGGACCAAAAGCAGGCATTCTCTCCTTCAACAATTGGTGCTCAACGTGGGGTACAAAGCCTCAATCTTAAGTCTGATATAATCTTTTTTGTTAAAAACATGGATTACTCCATGACGGAAACTTTATTTGATGCATAATGCAGTTTGTTGCCATTTCCTTGTCAGATTTATAGGTTTTTGACAGTCTGAAATAAATGAGAGTTTTTATAAAACTTCATGAATCTGTTTCCACATTATAACATGGAATTTGTACTAAACTAAACCTGTCTCACTCATGTTTACTCACAGATATTTGACTCCAGAATGAACTCTCTCTTCTTCCTTCGAGGTGAGAGCTGTGTGTTTACATTGACAATTGTTAGTGTGTGTTGTGTATATGCTCATGCTTGTGCAAATATGTCCCTGGATATATTTGTGAAAGTTAGTTAATCACTTACTGCTGTGATAGGTTATGTGTTATATTCTCCTGGTCCTCTTCAATGATGACCTGGTGTTTAGTATACTGCTTAGTTATCTCTATAGTTCTTTACTCATGTGCTGACTTATATCAGTATGGCTCAACACCCATTTTCCCAAACTGTTTTCCTCTCTATTGCTGTTCTCTATTTCCTTGCTCCCTTTGTCCCAGTATTGGCTAGAGGAATCCATTTAAGATGGCATCAATGTTCATCTGGTGCCTCTGGAGAATTTTCTGGGTCTAAGCATTGCACTCTCTGAGCCCCTGTATGGAAAGGAAGTAATGATGCCTACCTCAAAGAATCATTTTCAGGGCCTGAATGGAGAGGAAACAAAACCTGTGTATTTATGTGGTTGGCCGATTTCCCTTGCCTCCTTTGTGCTGCCCATGGAAGTCTGTGGCATGCAAGTAGGGGCCTGAGTGCACACAGAGAGGGAGAGTTCTTGCCACGGGAATGGGAAATGCACAAGCTCACATTCCCGGTATGTGTCTGCAGTCACAGTTATCACTGTATATGCCCAGGGTGATGAGATGACCTGGGAGGAGGAAAAACATCATTGTTACCTTCTATTGGTGTCGTCTGCACAGACAAGGCACTGTCACTCCATCCCCTGGGATTTATGTGCTTTCTCATCCTGGTTTCCTCTATTTCATGAGTTTTCTTTTCCCTTATGCTACCTTCTAGTGTAAATGTGAAGATTTAATCTCTGCAACCCAGAAGCAGGAGTTCATAGGGAAGAACCCAGTGTGCTGTGATGTCTGCCAGACAGGAAAGGTGAACAGACATTGGGACATTAAAGGTGAGTCAATTCCCTTACCCATCCTTATCCATTCAATATGATAACACTCCTTCATCTTCTGTTCATTAGCAATCTTTTGAGGTTAAATATGATCCTGTGTGTATGAATCTCAGATGGGTGGAAGGACCAAGGCACTTTGGAGTAAGTATGCTACAGTAGCTATCCCGGATCTTCCTGGTAGGTATTAAATAGTGGTACTCAAATATAGTGAGTGCCTGTGAGATATTATTGCAAATATAGCTCCTTCACAATCATCCCTTGTAAGAACAGAATCTACAATACATTTACTCTATGTCTATAGAGGACCACATCACATCACTTATGTTTCCTGTTTCAAACATCACATAGAATTGAGAGGTATTAAAAGGAAAAGAAAATGTGTACTATATTTAATCATCTTTTTCTACCAATACTGCATCTGTGCACTGACCTGCAGGGATTCTACCCTGTTCCCCCTCTTTTTCTAGTATCCAGAAGAGCTGGCAACAGCAGGTTCAGATATACAGCCTGGGAACACAGGCAGGGTTTGTGCACTCAGTGGAAAGCCGAAACAGGGAACCTGTCCTGAATCCAGGACCACTTCTCCACCTTTTCTTCCTCCACCCCTCCCTGCTCCTCAGACACCAAGTCTGTCCATGTCTTGAGCTCCAAACCTGGATGCTCTTTTTAGGTTTGTAACTTTTTTCATTTCTGGCAGCAACTCTCCACCCCACCTTGGAAATTAACATCTTTTTGGGGGTGGTAATGGCAAGATTTTTTTCCACATCCTCTCTTCCAGGGCTTCTCCCTGCTCTGAGACTAGGATTCTGAAGAGGGACAGATATTTTGGTGGGGTGTGACAGGCAGGCAGGTGTACCTGGAAGGTTCCGAGTTCTCTACCCAACTTTCCTTTAAAAACATCTGAATATGCCCCCTAATCTGTGAAATACCCAGTTTTTCATAACCTTATTTCCAATTTCATCTTCTCAGGAAATTCCTTTTATGTTATGCTATGCCTGAAGTCTTAGATGCTTTAAAAAAAAAATCTCCATCTCAAAGCTTTCTCACTTGAATCTCTGGAGAGCACAAATGTCTGACTGTCGCTTTAATAAATTGCAAACTAGCAGCTTCTATTTGTTCTTCCATGGGTAGCCCCTCTGTCCCTTCACCTAAGCCTTTGGATGGTTCTGTTATCAGTAGCCTTGAAGCTTCGATAATGGGATGTTGTTGCCTCTCTTCCAAAAGAACTAAATGTCCCTCTGAATGGAGACATGCCACTCTCTCCCTGGTGAAGAGTTGATCCAGCTAGGTCAACCAACCAGAAGGCCAAAGGACCCCTTCTAAAAAACGGGGCTCCTCCCCCTTAATCAGTACTAAAATGCAAAAGGGACCATACTGATCCATCCTTTCAGGAAGTAATCTGCTTTCCCTTACAGTAAGCCCTGCCCCTTTAGCAGTGGGTCACACACCCCTGACTCTGTACACATTTCTCCTCTTTTCTAGGTGTGGTTTCACTAACTCTTTTTGCTTCCCTAACACTGTGAGCTCTATTCTTTCTCTAAGGCTCCCTCTCGACCGTGTGGCTGCTTATGAACCATGTGTGCATCATCCGTGCAGGCTTAATGCAGATGGTACAGCTGTTCCTCTTTCTTCTTGATCCTATTTCTAGGGACGGTTGTGGAGATTTACAGCTTACCTCCCCTGGACCTTTTATTTTTCCTTTTCTCCTTTTTTCCTCCTTAAATTTATTTTGCTATATGTGTGGGAATATTTTGCCTACATAAATGTCTGTTTACCATGGGGTGCCTGTTATCCAAAGAGGTCAGAAATAATCCCCTTTTACTTTTCTGCATTCTGTGGGTAGCATAAATTAAAAACATAAATATAACAACCCAATGCTAAGATTTGCGTGTAACACCATGATCAAAAACAAGTTGGGGAGGAAAGGGTTTATTTTTACTTTATAGTTCTACATCGCTGAGGGAAGAAATGGGAGAAACTCAAAGAGAACAGGAAGCTGGAGGCAGGAGCTGATACAGAGGTTATGGAGGGACATTGTTTACTGGCTTGCTCCTCAAGACTTACTCAACCTGCTTTGTTATAGAACCCAAGTCCCTCACACAGTGGTGGTACCACCTACAACGGGCTGACTCCTCCCACATCAATTACTACAGGCCAGTCTGGTTGGGCATTTTCTCAGTTGAAGTTCTCCATTTCCAAATGACTTCAGCTTGTATAAAGAGGACAGAAAATCAGTCAGTCTGGTGGCTTTCAGTTCGTCATCACATCCTTATTATGCGGAGATGTGCTGCATCTATCCCTGGTCTCTACAGAGCTTTATCACTCAGTGATGTTGGATTTGAGTCCATTATATGCTGAATCATATTTATTGATTTACATATATTACACCGTCTCTGAATCCTTGGAACAAAACCAAATTGATCATAGTGTATGATCTTTTTGGTGTATGTTTTTTAAATATGGTTTGTAAGTCTTTTATTGAGAATTTTCAGGTATGTAAATCAAGAAGATTGGCCTATAATTCTCTGTGTTGTTTTGGGGGTCTTTATCTAGTTTTGGTATCAGGATAATGTTTGCCTTGTAAAAACAGAAAGTGTTTCTTGTTCCTTCCTTTTTGTTTGACAGACTATAATTTGAGTAGTTTTAGTGCAAGTTCTTATTTGAAGGTCTGATTCAATTCTGTGTTGAATCCATTGGGCTCTGGTGTGATTTCCACCACACTTTCCACAAATTTTCACTTTTTCGTCTTCACAACGTGAACCAAACCCATGACATACTGACTTCCTGTTCCCTCTCCACACTCCTGGTAGCCACCACTTTCAGTCACTGTGAATTTGACAACTCTAGGATCTCAAATAAGTGTGATCATATAAATATAGTATTTGTCCTTTTTTTTCAAGACAGGGTTTCTCTGTAGCTTTGGAGCCTGTCCTGGAACTAACTCTTGTAGACCAGGCTGGCCTCAAACTCACAGAGATCTGCCTGCCTCTAGTATTTGCTCTTTAGTGTCTGTCTGGTTTATTACATTTAGAGTAGTATTGCTAAGGTACATGCATATTACAGCATATGTCAGAATTTTTTTACTTTCTAAGACTATATAATATTCTGTTATAGCTATATATTTCTTTTTGTTTACTCATTCGCATTATATTTACTGGTATACACTTGAGTTCTTTCCATTTCTGGTCTATTGTTAATAATGCTGTGAACATTGATCTATAATAAGTATTCAAGTCCCTACTTTCAGTTCTTAGGGATTTTGCCCAGAAATGTAATGGGTGGATCACATTCTACTTGCATGTTAAGTTTGTGTGTGTGTGTGTGTGTGTGTGTGTGAGAGAGAGAGAGAGAGAGAGAGAGAGAGAGAGAGAGAGAGAGAGAGAGCACCTGCAACCTGCATGAGTTTATGTGTGCTAGGTGCATTTGGGTGCCCACAGAGGTCAGAGGGGGCAGATCCCTTAGAACTTGTGTTACAGGTGGTTTTGAGCCATCATGCGGGTGCTGGAAACTGAACCCAGGTCCTCTGTAAGAGCAGTAAGTGCTGTTAAGCCCTGATCCATCTTTCCAGCACCTGTATGTTAAATGGTTAAGGAAAGAACTGCTATTATTTTCTGCATGATGGCCACACCATTTTATATCCCTACTGTTAATGAACAAAGATTCCAATTTCTCCACATCAGGACAACACTTGCAATTAGGTGTTCATATTCTAATTATAATTGTCATTCTTTTTTTATTTCGAGACAGGGTTTCTCTGTGTAGCTTTGGAGCCTGTTTTGGAACTTGCGCTGTAGACCAGGCTGGCCTTGAACTCACAGAGATCTGCTTGCCTTTGTCTGGGAGTGCTGGGATTAAAGGCAATGCTGCCATCACCTTCTGACTATAATTGTCATTTTAATGAGTGGGAAATCATGTGTCATTGTAATTTTGATTTACAAGATCACAATGATTATTTTTTATTTTATTTCAATAACATTTTTTATTTACTTTATCTACCTACCACAGTTTCCCATCCCTCCTTTCTTTCCAGTAACCTCCCCTTGTGCTTCCCACCTACCCCCCTCCCTTTCC